CGCGGGGCGCGCCCTCCCCCCCCCGCGCCGCCCCCCCCCCCCCCAAATTTGATATTTCTTTATGCAAATATTATTTTCATGTAGTTTAAGTCAATCTTGGGCCAGAATCAGGTTATGTCCAGGTTGGGCAATTGCTCCCCGCCCACCCCCTCCAAAAAAAAATTGATATTTCCTTATACAAATATTATTTTTATGTAGTTTAGGCAATTTAGTAATTTTACCTCCCTCCCTCAATATATTTTTTTTGCCCAACAATTAAAAAAAATTTAAACATTTATGTGATTTTCTCACCCTAAAAAATAATGTTGGTTTTGTCCCTGGATCACTCTAGAGAATATAGCTTGGATTGTTTAACTAAATTGCTTTGGTATAATGTTGATAGATAAATATATTGGCACACAAATTTAGACATCAAATGTTTGTATTGGTGTTATAAATTTCTTCGTACTTTTACATTTTTATATGAATTAAATCTGTAACGTGCTTCTCCCACTTTTTGTACTTGGTTGGGTGTTTCCGATAAAAAGTCTGTTTGGAGAAACTGACTCTGGAATGAATTATGTGATAGATTGGACCCCCTTAATGGCAACCACCCATGAAGTAAACTACTAGTTAGACCATCTAACAACTCTCTAAGCATGAGCTGACTCTTTTCTGGTATTTGTTTCTTGAATTCACTATCTTCTAGAGCAACCAGTGTAAGTTCTGTTGGGGCGTCTCTCATGGGTTCTGCTTGAATCACTAGTTTTTCTCCCTCGTTGGTTGTAAATTGGTACTCCTTTTCATTCGTATCCTCTGGACCTTCTCCTTAATCGTACCATCCTCAGTAAAATATATCATCATTCTATTTGGGCAAACAATTGCAACGTGCCAAAAATCATTGCACTGGTTTTCTCCTTTTTGTACTGGTTTTCTCCTTGTTGGATTTTTAGGGAGTTTTTTATCTTAGTATATTCTATTATTAGATATTTTCTATTTCTAGAATGTAGTATTATTGGTATGTTGTAATTTCTATTTTCTTCTTTTATCATGGGGAGTTGTGGTTGATTTTATTACTTTTATAATATGGGAGCCAATCCTTTTTATTTATTTTGTAATTATTTTCTATGAAATTGAAGCGGAATAATTATTCTCCCTTCCCAAACCTACAGGGTATCAGAACTTTTGACGATGAAATGACCAAGGCTCCAGATCAAAGAAGGATGTACACGATGTCGTCATTGACTTCGCAATTAGCTCGTGAGTAATTGTATAGCGAGGATTGGTCATGAGGGAAATTCCATATAACTTGAGTTTGAAACTCTACGACCGTCTGTCTAGGAGTTCTGCTTTGCTCTGCTTCTACCCGTGATTGTTACACATTGTACTAGGGCTCGAATGTTTGTCTGAGAGTTCCGTTTGTGAGTTCTGATGGGCCGTTCATGACTTTTCTAATAACTTTTTTCTAGCAAGTTCTGCTCCTCTCACAATTGTTTCTCTTTTCTTCACAGTTGCTACTAGATCCGAACTTCTCTCCACTTTCTCTGGCGTTGATTGCAAGTTGATTTCGTACCATAATCATACCGTAATTCTTCTCCACTTATTGCATGCTATTCATCTCAGATTTTGAGGATGTTGTAAGAGTCAATGATGTTTGGAGTCTAGAGAAATCCTACCACATCTAGTGGCTCTAGTAATTCTGAAACCACATCACCTCATCTTACAGCTTCTCTTATGGCCGTATCGGCCAAGTATTATTTCCAAAAATCAACAGGCATCTAGAGTGGGCTCAATTCATAAAACTGGCAATTGTCGGGAGAGGGAAAATTTGGATATTTAATAGGAAAAAATTCAAAATATATTGCTGGCGATCCTAATTTGAAAAAATGACAGTCCAGAAGTTCTCTAGTTATGGTTTGAACATAGCATAAAAAAGCCACATCTATTCATTCCCACTGCTCGAGATATTTGGGAGGCTGTTTGAGATCTTTATTTAGATTAGGAGAATTCGTACCAAATTTTTCAATTGAAAACTCAACTTTAGAAATCAAAACAAAATGACTGTGATGTTACTACATATTACAATGAGTTAGTGACATTATGACATAACTTGATCAATGTTTTGATGACATTTGGGAGAATTTGAATGATTATGCTCATCACAAGAAGAGAGAAGAAAACAATCGAGTCTACATGTTCCTAGTCGTCCTTCATCGAATTTTGGGTGAAGTCTGAGGTCGCATCTTTGGTAGAAACGCATACCCTCTATTCAAGAAGTTTTTTTTTTTTTGAAGTTAGAAGGGAAGAGTCAAGAATAAAAACTATGCGGTGCAACAAAAAATCTTCTTATAACATTGAATGGGACAACAAAGCTCTTATGGCATAATGGGTTGATACTGACAAAAAAAGGGTATAAGAAAGCATGGTGCGAGCATTGCAAAAAATCATGACACGAGAAGGAGACATGTTGGAATTTCATGGTGAACCTGCAAACTAAATATCAAAATTCAAGCATGAAGGTCGATCTTATCAAGCCAT